CTATTAAGTCAAAAATATATATATATATATATATATATATATATATTAAACAATGAAAAATTGATATAATTATATAATATAATTGACGATGTTATTATTAGTAGGTAAATTTTGTTCGTCAATATTTAATAAATTTTTTAACGAGATTTGGATATAAGAATTAAAATAATTTTTTTGAGATATTAAAAATAAATTTATTTTAAATTAATAAATTAAATAATATTTAAACATAAAAAATATATATAAACACAATGTTTTTTTTATAAGTATAATAAACACAAAATATGATGAATCTATGTTGATTTTTTTTATTGAAAACAAAACTTTTCCTCGTGAATATTTTATTGATTAGCTGTTGTGAGACCTTATTCTTTTTTTCTCTCCCGCTGAACCCTACTCACTCCTCCTTTCACTTTCCTCTCACTCTCAACTCTCACTCTTTCACTATTACTTGCTTGGTTCTCTTCTGATTTTCTCAAATCATTCATTGTGGTGAACTTGTGGTGAAGGTGTTGATCATAGAGTAGGCGGAGCTAGCTGAACCGGAGTCATCTCGTCTTCTTCTCCAATTCTTCTCTTTTCGTTGTCCCGAAGCTCGGATTCTTCGTACCGAGGTAAGGGAAGCTAGATTATCTTGCTGATTGTTTGAGAGTGAGCTTGAGACTCACTTGTTGATGGACTCTTTGCGGATTTGAAGGTTGTTGGTTAAAAATGGAGTTTTGGGATTTTGGGTGAAATTTGAGTTTTTCTTTGATTATGGTTGCATGTTGAAAAAGCTGGCATTTTTGAACTCTTTGATGAAAATGAGAACTTTTGGATGGATTGCATGTGCTGGAAATGGAAATTTTTGCAGGATTTGGACAAGATTTTCGAACTTGGTGAGTTGCTGCTGAGCTTCGCATTGGGCACAGTTCTTCGTGCCGGACGCGATACCAGTTGTGGCATATTTTTGGGTTTTCTGGTGCTGCGCTGGGCGCGATTTCGGTCTCGCTGGGCGCGGAGGCTCCTTGGTAGTCTCTGCCATGGGGGCGCCGGGCGTAATTCAATTTGCGCTAGGCGCGAGACCTTATGGGAGGTCTCTACCTTCCCTGCGCTGGGCGCAGGTTGGGCCATGCCGGGCGCGTGAGACTCCTTAGAGTCTTTGCCTGGGCTTGCGCTGGGCGCAATTGATATTGCGTCAGGCGCGGGAGAGCCTTGGGCTCTCTGGCTGGGTCACACTAGGCGCGAGCACTCTTGCACCGGGCGCGATGGCCCCTGGTGCTCTCTGGTTGTGCCACGCCAGGCGCGACCATGAGTGCGCCGGGCGCGTATGATGATGATGACTTATATGCTAATAGATGTTAAATTTTGTTGAAATTGCTGATGGATGCTGTTTTATGCCGAACTAAGCTGTAATTGATGAATATGCTGTGCTGACTAGGTGATAACGCTAAATAATGATGTTAAGTTGTAATAGATGTAGATTACCGTGCTGAGCTGAGTTATTATTGATGATTTTAATATTGAATTATAATATTGTTGTACTATAGACTATTAAGTTGAGATGTGAGTAGTAAGCTGTGCTGAATACTACTTAGCTGTGCTGTAAGCTGATTTGCTGTGCTGTGTTATGCTGTGAGCTGTTTAAGCTGTGGTGAATATTATTAGCTGTGATGTAAGCTGTTAATGTTGTATGCTGATATTGTTGTGTTGTGTTATGCTGTATGCTGTTATAGCCACTATTGTGGTGCTGTTATAGTCGCTATGTCGGTGCTGTTATAGCCACTATTGTGGTGTTGTTATTGCCGTTATGCGGTGCTGTTATAGCCACTAGAGTGGTGCTGTTATTGCTGCTATGCAGTGATGATATTGCTGCCTTGCGGTGTTGATATTGTCGAATGTTGTGGTGTAGTATACGCTGGTTGATGTGCTGATAGTTGTAGTTGTTTACATTCATACTGTTAT